TGGAGTGCAGTGGCGTGATCTCAGCTCACTGCAAGCTCCGCCTCCTGGGTTTACGCCATTCTCCTGCCTCAGCCTCCTGAGTAGCTGGGACTACAGACGCCCGCCACCTCGCCCTGCTAGTTTTTTGTATTTTTTAGTAGAGACGGGGTTTCACCGTGTTAGCCAGGATGGTCTCGATCTTCTGACCTCGTGATCTGCTCGTCTCGGCCTCCCAAAGTGCTGGGATTACAGGCTTGAGCCACCACGCCCCGCCGAACACATACCTTTCAAATGATCCTATGTATATATTTTCTTCAATTGAATTTTTAATCCAAGTTGAGCTAAATTATACTAATATTGTATGGCAAAGTCTTATAGTTCTGATATCCATAGCTTTTCACATCTTTTTTATGGTCTCAGAAGATACAGTCTTCATCCTCATCTTACAAAATTACATATTCTCTGCTCTTGATTCTTTTTGTTTCCATCTCTGACGTCACTCACACACCTATATTTTGAACATTTTCTGCTTAACTGCCTCTTTTTCCTCAGCTTATGTATGTCTTGCCCATCATGAAACATACACACATACTTCTTTTGACCATATGATCATATGGCTCATCCAATTACTTCTGTTGGTGCGGTGGCCCTAGACAAACCTCTGTGGCCCTAGACAGGCTTGAGTTTAAATCTCGCCTCAGTGACTTATGAAGTGCATGACTGTGGACAAGTTTCTTAATCTTTTCGTGACTCAGTTGCATCTGTAAGTCTGTAAATGGGGATAATAATGGTATTTATCCCATAGGAATGTTGGGAGGATTAAATACATATAACAAGTACCCCATAAATGATAGGTATTGTTATTTTTTTCTCAAATATTTTTGGTCTGCCATTGGTTGAATGTATGGATATTGAACCCACAGATACGGAGGACCAACTGTTATAGCTTTATTGAGTTCTTACTATGTGCCAGGTATATTGTGCTTTACATAGCTTATTTCATGTAATTATTATCAGAAGTCTATAAAGTACATATTGTTTAATTTTTTTAAGGTAAAGGAAATGAAGCACAGAGATTAAGAGGCTTACATAACATTGTGCATCAGTGTGTCATAAACCCAGGATTCAAATCCATACAGTCTGACTCTGGAGCCCACACTCTACATTACTGTACAGATGGAGGCTCATTATGAGTGAAGAAATACAAAAGCCAATTACCCGTTCATATTGCTTGTCTATTTTGTAATAATAGTTTTTTTCTCTATTTGAAATTAGAATATTTTAAGAATGTCTATTTCAGTATTAGGACTTGGGATTTATGCAGCTACCTTCTCCCAATCTGTCACTTTTATGTTATCATTTATTTTTTGTTGTATAGACACTGAAGTTAGTTATGTTTAATGTATGATAAATATGCACACATAATAGAATGCAGTCAAAATATGCAACAATTAATATTTAGTCTTTTTTCATGAGTTGCCAATGTTGATCTTTTCTAAGATATCTTTCCTAATTAATATTAGATCATTGAGGTAATCTCTGTTCAAAGCTTTGTTTTCCATATTTAGTCTTTAATCCAACTGGATTATAATATTGTAATTGGTTTGAGATAGGAATTTACTGATAATTCTATTAGTAGAATTATCTTTGCATGTAGAAGACCAGTTGTTCCAACACCGTTTATTAAGTAAATATTTCCTTTGTGATGCCACCTTTACTGTATACATACATGATTGTTTCTAGGCTTTTACTTTTTCTTTAATCTATTTGTCTTCATTTATATCAGTACCGTACTTTGTATGTGTGTGTTTTACAGTGGTTTAATTACTATTACTTTATATGGTCAATGATTTTTACCACTTCTTTATACACACACATTATTCTTAGTTTTTCAAAAATTTTTGAGCTACTTTGGGACCTCTGGGCTTCCATTTGAATTTTAGAATTAGTTTATCTAGTTCTAGGAAGAAATCCTGTTGGAGATTTTCATTGAATTGCACAGACTAATTGGAGAAGAATTGAGCAAAAATACATATATATATATGTGTGTATATATAAAGATATATACAAAAAGATATTTATTTATTTATTTTTGGTGATGGAGTCTTGCTTTGTTGCCCAGGCTGGAGAGCAGTGACGTGATCTTGGCTCACTGCAACCTCCACCTCCCGGGTTTAAGCGATTCTCATGCCTCAGCCTCCCAAGCAGCTGGGATTACACCACCACGCCTGGCTAAGTTTTTGCATTTTTAGTAGAGATAGGGTTTCACGGTGTTGGCCAGGCTGACCACAAGTGATTCTGACCTCAAGTGATCCACCTGCCTTAGCCTCCCAAAGTACTGGGATTACAGACATGAGCCATTGCACCTGTACCGAAATATATTTCCTGTCACAATTAAAGATGTTTCCATTTAAGGGAATCTATTAATATAAATTATTATATTCAAGAGAGAAATAATCAGATGTATAGAGCTGAAAATTTTTAAACTCAGAACCTGTGATTTCAAAAGGAACTATTTATAAAGTAAAAATAAAAGAACACTTTCTTACCATGATACTTTAAGAAATTATTCACATGCATACAACACATATACATGCAGATAATAAGCTAAAAGCTAGTACCATGTTTACTTGTAAAAATGAGGCACTTTCCCACTAGTCAGGAACCCAACCAGCTTGCCAGTGCTACCACATTTATCTATATAATTTTGTATGCCTAGACATAAGTAAGGGGAGGGAAATGAAGTAAAAAGTGGGATGGTGCAGTCAAAATTATGATATCTAAATGATACGATTATGTTTTTAGGCAACAGAAGAGAAAACATGAGATGATTGAAATATGGACACAAAATTAATATACAAAAATCAATACAATTTTTCTCTATAAACCACACCATCAAAAATGAAATGGAAGAATGATGCTCAGACTAGAAAAAAAACCTAAAGAAAAAAATAAAGAAATGTATGTGATGTACATGGGAGAATGAAACCTTCAAATTACTACTGAGATATAAAAGAGGATTTGAACAAATGTTTTAAATACCCTTTTTTGGATAAGATCCATCATTATTAAATTAATGTAAATTGTTTTTAACCTACATAGATTTATCTGAATCTCAGTAACAATTCTAAATTATTTTTCTTAGAATTAGACAAGTTTATTCAAGCCGAGTCTAGAATACGTTTGAAAAATAAAAACATGCAGAATGGCCAGGAAAAGTATAAAAGAATGTCATGTACCATCTCAAGTTTTTAAAAGAAGAATATTCGTTTAATGGTTATGTAACTTTAGGGAAAAAAAAATTTATAAAAAGTTGCCAGTCAGCACATACACCCAGAACTGATTTGTAGTTATCTTTATTCCCTTGCTGTAAACTTTGTTATTTTAAAGAATATGTTTGTTCCATTATGTATCTTGAAGAAAGTGAGGCATGGTGGCTCACACCTGTAATCCCAGCACTTTAGGAGGCCAAAGCAGGTGGATCACTTGAGGCCAGGAGTTTGAGACCAGCTGGATCAACACAGAGAGACCCAGTCTTTACAAAATATTTTTTTTAATTAGCTGGGTGTGGCCAGGCACGGTGGCTCACACCTGTAATCCCAGCACTTTGGGAGGCCGAGGCAGGTGGATCATGAGGTCAGAAGATCGAGACCATCCTGGCTGACATGGTGAAACCCTGTTTCTACTAAAAATACAAAAAATTAGCCGGGTGTAGTGGTACATGCCTGTAGTCCCAGCCACTTGGGAGGCTGAGGCAGAAGAATTGCTTGAACTCAGGAGGCAGAGGTTGCAGTGAGCCAATATTGCACCACTGCACTCCAGCCTGGGTGACAGAGTGAGACTCCATCTCAAAAAAAAAAAATGGCTGGGTTTGGTGGCTCAAATGTTTAGTCCCAGCTACTCAGGAGGCTGAGGCAGGAGGATTGCTTGAGCTCAGCAGTGAGGCTTCAGTGAGCTATGATTGTGGCACTGCTCCAGCTGAGGTGACAGAGCGAGACTCAGTTTCAAAGAAAAAATAAAGTGAAGGAGAGGAAGGTGCTGTGGTACCAGCAAGAACATTGGAAATATTAGTGCTTCTTGCCAGAGGCAGAAGTATGTTCATGTTTTTTTTTGATTCTGTTTGACAGGAGAAGGAATAAAACTTAATAACATGAACTGTG